TTGCAAAGTTAAGCCTTTATTAGTGTATCACTCTGAAACTCCCAGAGCGTTCAGGCAAAAGAATGTCCTCAAGGATAATTTGTGTGTGCTGTGGAGGGCAAACAGTAAGGCATGGGTCACTAGGGACTTTTTCTATAACTGGTTACACCATGCATTTGCCCCCAATGTGAAAGATTACCTAACTGAAAAGAAATTAGAACTTAAGTGCCTCCTGGTGTTAGACAATGCCCCTGGTCATCCTACAGACGTGGCAGAGCGACTTTATGGGGACATGAGCTTCATTAAGGTCAAGTTTTTGCCTCCTAATACCACTCCTCTCCTGCAGCCCATGGACCAGCAGGTTATTGCAAACTTCAAAAAACTGTACACAAAAGCTCTGTTTGAAAGGTGCTTTGTAGTGACCTCAGAAACTCAACTGACTCTAAGAGAGTTTTGGAGAGAGCACTTTAATATCCTCAATTGTGTAAACCTTATAGGTAAGGCTTGGGAGGGAGTGACTAAGAAGACCTTGAACTCTGCTTGGAAGAAACTGTGGCCAGAATGTGTAGACAAAAGGGATTTTGAAGGGTTTGAGGCTAACCCTGAGAGGATTATGCCACTTGAGGAATCCATTGTGGCATTGGGAAAGTCCTTGGGGTTGGAGGTTAGTGGGGATGATGTGGAAGAGTTGGTGGAGGAGGACAATGAAGAACTAACCACTGATGAGCTGATAGATCAACTTCAAGAGCAAGAGGCCAGACCTGAGGAAACTGGTTCAGAGGAGGGGAGAGAGAAATTGAAGAAGTTGCCTACTACAAAGATTAAAGAAATCTGTGCAAAGTGGCTTGAAGTGCAAACCTTCATGGATGAAAATCACCCTCACACAGCTATTGCAAGCCGTGTTGGCAACCTGTACACTGACAATGTTGTGAAACACTTTAGGGAAGTCATAAAGGAACGAGAGGTACAGGCCACTATGGACAGATATGTTGTGCGAAAGAAGTCCAGTGACTCTGAAGCTGGTCCTAGTGGCATTAAAAGAAGAAGGGAAGTAACCCCAGAAAAGGACTTGACACCTCAAGTCTTAATGGAAGGGGATTCCCCTTCTAAACACTAACACTCTCTCTCCCCTCGTCCCATCCCATCAATCATCACCAGATCTTCAATAAAAGTAAGTGTCATGTAAGTGTGCATGCCTTTTTCAGTTTGTGTGTATTAAAATTAACATTTCATGTGGTAAAAAAATTTTTTTTTCATACTTTTGGGTGTCTTGCACGGATTAATTTTATTTCCATTATTTCTTATGGGGAAAATTCATTCACATACCGATTATTTCGCATAACAATTACCCCTCTTGCACGGATTAAAATCGTTATGCGGGGGTCCACTGTACTAGTACACCTAAATTCTAGCGCCCTCAAATCTAGTGGGAGAAAGCTGGTAGGCCTTCATATGAAAGAATGGGTCTATGTGGTCAGTGTGCACAGTCTAAAAAAAATCCTGCAGCACACAGTGCATAATGAGAAAAAAAAAACTTTGACCATTTTTTTGGAATAAAACAGCGACTTTGCACTGTATTTTTGTATGGTATTTATTGTTGTATTCTAGTTTTCTTGGTCTCATTTTATAGAATGGAAGACATATTACAGAAATTGAGATGATTTTGACTGGTTTTACAATGAAAGATACCTTGAAATTGAGCTCAAAGTGGCAGAAATGTTCGATTTTTACCAAATTTCAAAAGTAAACAAATTGTGCCAAGCGTGCAATACACGTCAACTGGTGAGTCTAATATTCTTTCACAAGTGCACCAATAATATTTATACCATTTTTTACACTAATGCAGTAGTCTGCATAACAGTAAATCTTATATTTTATGTGAGAATAAAAATTCAAAGTGGAAAGCAAAAGAATATAGGAAGGGCCTTGAGACGTGACTAATGACCAGAGGAAATGTCATTTTAGTGCCAGGAATGTCTTTCTTGTTTATTCTGGACCCTATTCGGAAATTGTCATCTTTTGAAATTTGTGTGATATTGGCAAAATTGCTAAATTCTGACCACTGTACTGGATAGTTGAGTTTCATAAATGTGTTGTTTCTTGCACTCATTCGATAGAAAAAATGGTGTTCTAGCGAAATATTCATGTTTTTTGTCGACTAGCACAGTGGAATTGGCCGAAAATGGGGCTCAAAGTGGGCAAAATCGCCGATGCGTAAACATCGCCGAGACCGCTAACTTTGCGAGAGCATAATTCCGTAAGTTTTCCATCAAATTTCAAACTTTTGGTGTCCTTATGATCGGGAAAAGATTCTCTATCTTTTCATAAGAGAAAATAATTTTTTTTTTTTTTTAAATTTGGCCGACCCTGAGAACGAGTTTCGGAGAGGGCCTGTCGACCCTCAAAGGGTTAAAATGCCGACTTTTGTGGTCTGTTTTCCTATAGTATTTATGGTTATATTCTCGTTTTCTTGGTCTCATTTGATAGAATGGGAAACATATTATAGAAATAGAGGTGATTTTGATTGGTTTTACTATAAAAAGAACCTGGAAATGGAGCTCAAAGTAGGGGAAATGTTTGATTTTTGCCAATGTATTTCAAAGGACCTAAAATCTGTAGCACCCTACTTGAATACTCTAGAACTGCAGACACATTCATCACTTTCAAAACTACAGTTAGAAAACATCTTATCTCCCTGATCCACCCCGACAACTAACTACATGATAACCACCTGGTGGTTCAAAATTACACTCACTCACCCACTGACTATAAACCCAGAAATACTAATCTTTTTCTTAAAATAATAAATCCTAACTAGTCATAAGTTTGCCTATGTTACTCAAATATAGACACCTTGTATTGTGCCAAAACAAAAGTATTCACATTGCTAAACTCAAAATTATGATGTAGTCATGTAGCCTTAATACTATACATGTAATCTGTAAGGACTTAATGTTAAGAATTAATCTAAGTCTGCTCGAAATGCCTAGCCATGCTAGGTGTCCTAGTGGCCCCCTCTGTAATTAGTATTTTATAACATGTAAACCACAAAATACCCAAAACCTGTAAACCCCACATTGTAACCATTATAGAGAATAAACTTGAATTGAATGTTCAAAAGTAAACAAATGATGTCATTGTCCAATAAATGTCCAAGTAGCCATTCTAATATGCAGTCATGAATGGGTTGACATTATTTGTACAATTATTACAATATTGCAGTAGTCTGCATAACAGTAAATCTTCTATTTTTTGTTTGAATAAAAATTCAAAATAGAAAGCAAGAGTAATATCAGAGGGGCCTGGAGACATGACTGATGAACAAAGAAAATGTTATTTTAGAGCCAGGAATGTCTGCATTGTTCATTCTGGACCTTATTTTGAAATTGTCATATTTTTTAATTTTTGTGAAATTGGCCAAATTGCAAATTTCTGACCACGTTATTGGGTAGTTGAAATCGGTAAATGGTCAGTTTCTTGTACTCAATCGATAGAAAAAATGAAGTTCTAAAGAAATAGCTATGACTTTGGTCAACTGGAACAATGGAATTAGTTGAAAATAGGGCTCAAAGTGGGCGAAATCGCCGATTTGTAAATATCGCTGAGGTCGCTAACTTCATGAGAGTATAATTCCGTCAGTTTTCCATCAAATTTCATTTTTTTGGTGTCATTACAATCGGGAAAAGATTCTCTATCATTACATAAGAAAAAATAATTTTTTTTTTTTTTTTGAAACTTTGCGATACCAGGAGACACCTCAGGATTAGGGGTTGCGACAGTCAAGGGGTTAAAGTGGGCAGTTTTCTGTGTAATAAGACCAAAAAAATTTTTAGTGAAGTTGGCACTGGATGCTCACCTGATAGCAACTTGGAGTTCTGCCACTTGCAGAAGTGTTGCTGATATACCTTGTTTTCTCATTTTTTTCTTTATATAATTTTTATGTCCTGGTAATTACAATTTGTAATTGTTCTTGTGATTTCATAGCCAATGTTTGTTATGACACTAATGTTAAGTCACAAACACACTGACAGGTGAACATTTTCACCTGCCTTGGTCATCTATTATTGTCTAGAAATATATATATACAAAGTATTTATTTTGTCTATCTGTCTAGCTCTGTCCAACCAGCCACCCGGCCACCCAGCCACCCAGCCTGCCAAACACGTATTACACATTCCAGAATTGTTTCTCTTTACTTAGGGCATAGGTTATAGGACATTCTGGCAGGATGACACTACCAGTAGTATCAAAATTGAAAAATGTTGCACAAATGTTGCACATGGATTATTATCTAAGTGAATCCCTGGTGTTTGCCACGCTATTTGCTCTAGCTGGCACTCAGCTGAACTGGTGCTCCCACAAGGGACTAAGTGGTCCCAGATTTTTTTAGTACTGCTCACACCAAGTGTTAAGACCCGTTCTATACTGACCAGGCATCTCAGGCCAATCATCCCAAATTTGGAGGTAGGAAAAATAAAATGCAGATCTGTGTTTGGAGTGCTAGCTGTAAGAACGTAGATCTACATTTGGACAGTTAACGGGTTAAAATGCAGGCATTGTACTTCCCACCTCCAGGATTCAAGTCCAACTAACCAGTTTCCCTGAATCCCTTCACAAAATATTACCCTCCTCACACTCCAACAGCTCATAGGTCCCAAAAACCATTTGCCTCCATTCAGTCTTATTTAACATGCTTACACATGCCTGCTGCATGTCCAAACCTCTTGCACACAACACCTCTATTACCCCCTCCCTCTATCCTTTCCTCAGATGACCCTTACCCCCATTACAGATTTATACACCCTCCGAGGTATCCTATTTTGCTCCATCCTCTGTAAATGACCAAACCACCTCAATAACCCTTCTTCACCTCCTCCTATTCTCCACACTGAATATTTAGTAATAATTTTCAGTTTTTAGTACTAGTCCATCTTAACCTGCTTAAAAACATATATCTCTCATTCTTTAATTTATGTTTATTTCTTTATGTTATTTTATGCCACCTAATTGTATTTATGAAGGTCGTGTGACAGATGACCCAAGCCAGTCTCCTGGCTTTCAGTATGCACCTCCATATGATCATACAAGTGAGACACCATATGGACATTATCTATACTTCTATGATGGGAAAGATGATGCATCTTCTGCCAAAATAATATCAGAGACCTTCACCACTGAGAAAGATTCATGTTTTTCATATTGGCTTCATATGTTTGGTGATAAGGTGAGAAGCTAATTAAGCTGCCAGTTGTACATTGCCTTTTATTTACTGATAAATTTAGTATTTGATTTTAAAATTGTAATATGTATTTTACTTATGAAAATATACATTTGGCTTGTAATCCATATCTTAGGTAGGCAAACTGCAGTTACTGTCCTTGAGTGCAGGAGAATCAGCTGTAATGAAAACCATAGAAGGATCACAGGGCTATGAATGGCAACAATTTGAGGTATGATTGTTTTCCCATGTTCTAAGTGTTTATATTGTACTTTATGGGAAATAGTAAATTTGCGTATTTTATATGAAGAGTAAGAATGCTTTTACCACCAGTCATGATTTAGAGAATTGTATATGCAACTTATGCAGGAGCAGATCTACTATAAAACCAATGAGGCTTAAGCTTCATGGTCCCTAATCCCAGAGGGGCCCCAGAAGCCACTTTAGTCCACATTGCTTAAAAATTCTGAGTCTCCTGTATGAGAAGGTTTTTTTTTTTTTTTTTTTGAAGAGTAATAATAATAATATAGTATAATTCAGTACAAAATAATAGTTAATCCTTAAACGGTCCAAACATATACTATATACATTCTCTCGCGTAGCACCCCAAACATATATATACGTTTCCTTTGTCACTCGTTCAACATTGGCATGATAAGCTTGAGTTGCCTAGACATGAGAGAATGGGTTCACTGTGTGCCATATGAAAAAAATTGGGGATGCCTGGGTACTATATGCTCTTTTTTCCTATAAAAAAAAAAAATTCTCAAAAAATTTGAGGCGCTACACAAGAGAAAATGTATATACATTTGGACCGTTTAAGGGTTAAAATAAAGATTAAAAGAATATTAAAGTATCATGTAGGCTAGCCATTGCTGGTTGGGGAGGGGCACTCATAACAGTTCAAGCTTCAGGGCTTCAAAAAATGTAGGTCTTACACTGAACTTATTCATAAAGTATGTGCCTTGTATATGAATGCTGATTATGCATATATTTCTTAAGCTTTATGAGCTTAATATGTACAAGGATTGTAACATTTTTCTACTGTAGAAAAATATTTAGAATAGAACAAATAAACATTTTTTTTAATATTCTGGAGGAAACTTTTTTTTTTATCAACAAGTTGGCCGTCTCCCACCGAGGCAGGGTGACCCAAAAAGAAAGAAAATCCCCAAAAAGAAAATACTTTCATCATCATTCAACACTTTCACCTCACTCATACATAATCACAGTTTTTGCAGAGGCGCCCAGATACAACAGTTTAGAAGCATATATAAAGATACATGACATATCCCTCCAAACTGCCAATATCCCAAACCCCTAATTTAAAGTGCAGGCATTGTACTTCCCATTTCCAGTACTCAAGTCTGGCTATATAAAAATAACCGGTTTCCTTATATCCCTTCACTAAATATTACCCTGCTCGCACTCCAAGAGCTTGTCAGGTCCCAAAACCTATTAGTCTCCATTCACTCCTATCTAACACGCTCACTCACGCTTGCTGTAAGTCAAAGCCCCTTGCCCACAAAACCTCCTTTACGTCCTCTCTCCAAGCTTTTCGAGGATAAACCCTACCCCACCTTCCTTCCCCTACAGATTTATATGCTCTCCATGTCATTCTACTTTGATCCATTCTCTCTAAATGACCAAACCACCTCAACAACCCCTCTTCAGCCCTCTGACTAATACTTTTATTAACTCAACACCTGCTAATTTCAACACTCCAAATTTTCTGCATAATATTTACACCACACATTGCCGTTAGACAGGACATCTCCACTGCCTTCAACTGCCTCCTTGCTGCAGCATTCACAACCCAAGCTTCGCACCCATATAAGAGAGTTGGTACCACTATGCTTTCATACATTCCCTTCCTTGCCTCCATAGATAACGTTTTTTTTTTATCTCCACAAATACCTCAATGAACCACTCATCTTTTTTCCTTCATCAATTTCTTTGGTTAACCTCATCATTCATAAACCCATCTGCTGACACGTCAACTCTCAAATATCTAAAAACATTCACTTCTTCTATACTCCCTCTCTCCAATGTGATATCCAATTTTTCTTTATCTAAATCATTTGATACCCTCATTGCCTAACTCTTATCTATGTTCACCTTCAACTTTCTACCTTTACACACCCTCCGAAACTTCTCCACTAACCTTTACAACTTTTCTTTAGAATATCCCATAAACACAGTATCATCAGCAAAAAGTAACTGTGTCAAGTCCCATTTTGTATTTGATTCCCCATAATTTAATCCCACCCCTTTCCCCAACACCCTAGCATTTGGTTTTTTTTACAACCCATCTATAAATATATTAAACAACCATGGTGACATTACACATCCTTGTCTAAGACCTACTTGTACCGGGAAATAATCTCCCTCTCTTCTACACACCCTAACCTGAGCCTCACTATCCTCATAAAAACCCTTTACAGCATTTAGCAACTTACTACCTATTCCATATACTTGCAACATCTGTGCCACATTGCTCCCCTATCCACTCTATCATATGCCTTTTCTAAATCCATAAATGCAATGAAAACTTCTCTACCTTTTTTTAAATACTTTTCACATATATGCTTCAATGTAAACACTTGATCTACACATCCCCTACCCACTCTAAAGCTTCATTGCTCATCTGCAATCCTACTCTCTGTCTTACCTCTGGTTCTTTCAGTAATAACCCTACTGTACACTTTTCCTGGTATACTCAGTAAACTTATTCCCCTTTAATTTTTACAGTCTCTTTTGTCCCCCTTCCCTTTATATAAAGGAACTATACAAGCTCTCTGCCAGTTCCTAGGTACCATCCTCTCTTTCATACATTTATTAAACAAAAATACCAGCCTCTCCAACATTATATCCCCTCCTGCTTTTAACATTTCTGTCATGATTCAGTCAGTTCCAAGTGCTTTACCCCCTTTCATTCTATGTAATGCCTCACACACCTCCTCCATACTTACATCCTGCTCTTCTTCACTCCTAAAAGATATTATACCTCCCTGGCCAGTGCATGAAATTACCACCTCCCTTTCTTCATTGACATTTAAAAGTTCCTTAAAATATTCCTGCCATCTACCCAATACCTCCAGCTCCCCATCTACTAACTCCCCTACTATGTTTTTAACTGCCAGATCCATTCGTTCCCTAGGCTTTCTTAACTTGTTTATCTCACTCCAAAATTTTTTATTATTTTCATCAAAATTTCTTGACAGTGCCTCTCCCACTCTATCATCTGCTCTCATTTTGCACTCTCTCACCACTCTCTTCACCTTTCATTTACTCTCCATATACTCTGCTCTTCTTATAATACTGCTTTGTAAAAACCTCTCATAAGCTATGTTTTTCTCTTTTATCACACCCTTTACTTCATCATTCCACCAATCACTCCTCTTTCCTACTGCACCCACCCTCCTATAGCCACAAACTTTTGCCCTACATTCTAATACTGCATTTTTAAAACTATTCCAACCCTCTTCATACCCCCCCACTATTCAAACTTGCACTAGCCCACCTTTCTGCCAATAGTTGCTTATAACTCACCCTAACTTCCTCCTCCCTTAGTTTATACACCTTCACCTCTCTCTTGCTTCTTGTTTCCATTTTCCTTTCATCCCATCTACCTCTTACTCTAACTGTAGCTACAACTAAAAAATGATCCGATATATCAGTTGCCTCTCTATAATCATATACATCCTGAAGCCTACCCATCCACCTTTTTTCCACCAGTACATAATCTAACAAACTACTTTCATTACATGCTATATCAAACCTTGTATGCTTATTTATCCTCTTTTTCATAAAATATGTATTACTTATTACCAAACATCTTTCCACACACAGCTCAGTTCAAGGCTCCCAATTTTCAATTACCCCTGGCATCCCAAATTTACCTACTACTCCCTCCACAACATTTTACCCACTTTAGCATTGAAATCCCCAATCACAAGTACTCTCACACTTGGTTCAAAACTCCCCATGCACTCACTCAACATTTACCAAAATCTCTCTCTCTCCTCTACACTTCTCTCATCTTCAGGTGCATAAATGCTTTCTATAACCCACTTTTCACATCCAACCAATATTTTACTCCACATAATCCTTGAATTAATACATTTATATTCCCTCTTTTCCTGCCATTACTTACCCTTTAACATTATTGCTACACCTTCTTTAGCTCTAACTCTATTTGAAACCCCTGACTAATCCCATTTATTTCTCCCCACTGAAAATTTGAGTAATTTTCTACAGTAGACAGTATCAAATATGTTCCACTTTTTTTCCATTTTGCTAAATAATATTTTCGAACTATGATTCTGATGTAAATCCTTAAATTCTCATTTGGGCCTCATTTTATGATTGTCAGATGCATCTAGTATCACTGGTTTATTCCTAAACTATAAGTATACTGTATGAAACTTTTATCTTTTTGTTAGAGTAACAACACCCATCAATGCATTTGCAACTGTTTGCTTTTTCCATTGCAATACATGTAATCTACAAACATCTTGTATACTACCTCACACTCTTATAAGCTTCACTATAAATACATTTTTTTTTAAATTCTTGTTAAGTGCTAAACCCACGTGGATCATTCAGCACAATAAGTAGTGGAGGATTAATCCTGAGTCTGCTGAGGAAGAGACAGATGAGCTTCCTATTTGTACTCTCCTGGGTGTTCACAATAAAAATAGGATTGATTTCATAGGATGTAATGAAGTTCACATGATCTTCACCTTAAATTTTCCCCTTAACCCTTTCAGGGTCCATGCCATAGATCTATGGCTTTACATTGAGGGTCCAAACCATAGATCTACGCCATGAGCTCAGCTCACTCTGATAAGCTATGAGCGGTAAATTTGGGCCTAGATATGAGAGAATACATCTATGTGGTATGTGTGCACCACATAAAACAAATCCTGCAGCACACAGTGCATGATGTGAGAAAGAAAACTGAGACCGTAATTTTCGATTAAAATAGGGACTTTGCAGTGTTTTTTCAAATGTTTTTTGTGGTTGTATTTGTGATTTTTTGGTCTAATTTGATAGAATGGAAGATGTCTTACAGAAATAGAGATAATTTTGATTGGTTTTAGTACTGGAAATGGGTTGAAACTGAGCTCAAAGTAGCAGAGGTGTTAAATTTTTGCCGATGTTCAAGAGTAAACAACTGACCTCACACGTCTAATACACGCCAGCTGGTGGGTCTAATATACGTTCACAAATGTGGTGATATGATTTATACAATTATTACAATATTGCATAACAGTAAATCTTCTATTTTTTGGTTTGAATAAAAATTTATTATGTGAATAAAAAATCAAAATGTAATTCATTTGTAAAGCATTAAAACGTAACTAATGAACAGTGGAAATGTTAGTTTAGTGCCAAAAATGCCTGCATTGTTTATCCTGGACCCTATTTTGATATTTAAATATTTTGAACTTTGCATTAAATTGGCCAAATTATCAATTTCTGATCACTTTATTTTGTAGTTGAAACAGTTGACTTGGCAATTTCTTGTGCTCAATCAATAAAATTGAAGTAATACTAGTGAAATAGCTAAATATTTGGCCGACTGGAATAATGTAATTGGCCTAAAATGGGAGTCAAAGTCGGCAAAATTGCCGATGAGTAAATATCACTGACACATCAAAATTCACGAGAGCATAATTTCATCAATTTTCCATCAAATTTCATACTTTTTGTTTTATTACCTTCAGAAAAAGATTCTCTACTATTTCATAAGAAAAAGTAACAAAATTATTTTTGAAAATTCTTGGACACTGGTGCACACTTTAAAATTTGGCCTCTGGACCCTGAAAGGGTTAATATTAAAACTCTTCCTAATGTTGATTTTAATTTAGGCAATTCTTCCTAAATATTTTCATACAAACTCAAACACCACATGTTTTTATAGCATTAGTATGTATCACATGCTAATGAAATACCCTTTTTCAAATATATTAAACTCCTTTTATTAAAATCCATGGCTTCCTTATATTGTATATAGGAGAATTTTATTTTATATATGGTTTTTCATATTGTCATATATGTGCATCTTAAATTTTGAAGCTTATCATTTTGTAAACAACTTTTTTCATACTCATTGAAATTGTACAGATGCAGTGATACTCCAGTTTTAGTTTTTTCATTTTTATTCATCATACTCAAATAGTCAGGTATGCATACTATATGTATTTTATAATAATAGTTTACTTTATTTAAGAGGCATTTTTTGTGATAATTGTATACTGTCACTGTATTCCAGATAGAGATAAGAGAGACTTATCAGCAATGGTTAGAATTTGCTGTTGAGGGTGTAGCAGGACACATCAATGTGGTGGCATTAGATGATATTGAACTGTACGCTGGTTCTTGCCTTGATAACTCTAGTCTTCCAGATTTTCGTTGTAATAATGGGGATATCATCCCCCAGAATGAGGTGAGCAATCTTCTACAGTACTTACAGTATCATTAAGTAATACTTGTCTTATATATCTATTTTGTTAGGGCAATGTTTCATATTTTGTATCAAATTAGATGCAAATAGATATTAAGTGAGAAACTAAATTGGTGACAGTTATTTTTTTTTATTTGAAAACACTCATTTGACTTGACATGAAGAGAATATACTGTATTTTACACTAATCAAAAAAGGTCATGATAGTAATATGCTCAGTACCTAAAGTTTACTTCTTCTTAAATATGAAATATTCTATCAAAGAAGGGTCTTTCTTGCTTAAATTAGATCAGAATGAATAATACAGCCATGAACTGCCTAAAGGGAAGAATTCTTATGAAAATGCTCATCACCTCAGTAAAGTGATAAATTATTCAAATGGTACTATATGACATAATTTTGCAATACAGTGGACCCTCAACCTACGATATTAATCCGTTCCTGAGAGCTCATCGTTAATCAAAATTATCGTTAGTCGAGTTAATTTTCCACATAAGAAATAATGGAAATCAAATTAATCCGTGCAAGACACCCAAAAGTATTGAAAAAAAAAAAATTTTACCACATGAAATATTAATTTTAATACATACAAACTCCTAGGTAGTAGGTTGGTAAACAGCAACCGCCCAGGGAGGTACTACCATCCTGCCAAGTGAGTGTACAACGAAAACCTGTAATTGTTTTACATGATGGTAGGATTGCTGGTGTCTTTTGTCTGTCTCATAAACATGCAAGATTTCAGGTATGTCTTGCTACTTCTACTTACACTTAGGTCATATTACACATACATATACAAGCATATACAGGAGGGCCCCACTTATACGGCGGGTTAGGTTCCAGGCTACCGCCATAAAGCGGAAACCGCCGTAAAGTGGAACACCCTTTTTTCCACTTACAAATGCATACAAACACTAGATAACAAGTTTACAATAACATATATTATGTTAGCAATAGAACCAGGCATCAAAAAACAATAAAAAAGTACAATACACACATAGTGCACTCATTACTTACCTTAAAATATTATAGTCTTAATCTAGGGTGAGACAATAGTATTTATTGTAAGAATCAAGTGTGGTATGTATGGTAGTCAGGCCAGGCTACCATACCAGGCCACCCCACCCAACATACTATTCTATGATTTTTAAAGCATCCCAGAGCGATAAAATGTATATACAGTTCACTCATTTATTTTACCTTAAAATATAGGGTGAGATGAGTAGTATTTATTGTTAAAAAATCAAGTGTGGTATGTATGGTAGTCAGCCAGGCTACCATACAGGCCACCCCACCCCCCATACTATTCTATGATATTTAAGCATCCCAGAGCAATAAAATGTATGTACAGTTCACTCATTACTTCCCTTTAAAAATATAGGGGGTGAGATGAGTAGTATTTATTGTAAAAATTCAGTGTGGTATGTATGGTAGTCAGCCAGGTACCATCCCAGAGAGAAAGAATGAGTGCAGAGAGAGGACAGGCGCAGATTTTATGAAAAACAAACCAGGCGAGGTAAGTTTTGAAAACAGTGTACACGTCTGGTTTGTGTACAAGTTACATTGTGTACAGGTTGTCTCTACATTGATACGGTAGATAAATAAAAAAGAACACTCCCATTCTCATGTAACATCTTTTGAGAAGAAATGATGCTCTGAGTGAAGGCAATGGAAGTAAGTCACTCTGACTTTTTTTGGGTTATCCTAGGTTCTCTTAAAATATGTTGTTATGTATTTATGTTATGTATCGTGTTTATTATATAATTTGAAAAAAATATCACGGATGGATTAATGAAAATGTGTTATTAACGTTTAAAATAGAACATTTAATGATACACCGAGCTCAGCAGCGTAAACAAACAAACTGAACAGGTTGTGGACGATCACTCGGTCAGGCGAAATAGACGGTATTAAACGTGTCCAGTTTTAGTTCATTCATGTACATTGTAAGAGTTTGTGAAACTTTTTACCTATTAATTTTTTTTATTTTATTTTTAATAATTAAATCACGAAACAAATACTCTTACACTGTGTACAAGTTAGTACAGAATTATAGCTATAAAGTGAAGGCATACGAAAGGAATATTTTTCTACAGTTAATCCTTAGTAACAGGTGACGGGCTAGAGAAAACATAATTCTTCCGACACTTCTACAAACCGTTTGGTAAACATCTATATATTTTTGTATAAATTTTTTATACTGGGGTGCATGTATCATTTTTTGTGTTTACTTTAATGTGTTTCTTATATAATTTTGAAAAAAATATCATTGATAGATTAAGGGAAATGTCTATATTAACGAAATATGCGACATTAATGCGCCAAGAGTTATTTTTTTTTATTATATTATTTTTGCATCAAGAGTAGAGAGACTCTTAGTGATTTTAATGTGTACCTACATGCCAGCACAGTGTGTAAGTTTATTTAGGTACAGGTGTACACAAGTTTAATTATCAAGTACAATACATATAAAATATACAATAACTTTAAAACACTTGAAATTTTGGAAAGTTTCCAGACATAATAAGGAGATGTGCTCAGGGAGAATGTAAACAAACTCGGTGGGCCGCTGTGACCGTATTAGAAAGACAGGTGGGGGGAGCCGTATAGCGAGTTTTGGTCATAATTTGAAATGTCCGTATTAGCGGAACGGCATAAAGCGAAACGCCGTAAATGCCGGGAGCAAGGGGCTAGTAACCCCTTCTCCCATATAAATTACTAAATTTGAAAGAGAAACTTTTGTTTTTCTTTTTGGGCCACCCTGCCTTGGTGAGATACAGCTGGTGTGTTGAAAGGAAGAAAGACATACAAACTGAAGAAGACATGTATAATTACATGACACCTTTATTGAAGATCTGGTGATGATTGATGAGATGGGAGGAGGGAAGAGTGTGGATGGTGTTAGTGTTTAGAAGGGGAATCCCCTTCCATTAGGACTTGAAGTGTCAAGTCCTTTTTCGGGGTTACTTCCCTTCTTCTTTTAATGCCACTAGGACCAGCTTGAGAGTCACTGGACCTCTGTTGCACAACATATCTGTCCATAGAGGCCTGTACCTCCCGTTCCTTTATGACATTCCTAAAGTGTTTATAACTTGTCAGTGTCACAATTAACACTTGTTCAAAGGTTTCAATTCTTCACTGTTCTATGTACTCCTTGAATTCTGCACATATTTTTCAGCTGCTTTTTGGTCCAAATGGGAGCCTCACCATGCCTTATCACACTATGTATGCCCTACGATTCTTAAATCTCTCAAACCATTTTTGCTGGCCTTAAATTCACTCACATCACTAGTTGCAGGCATTTTTCTAATTAAATCGTCATGCAACTTCCTAGCCTTTTCACATATGATCGCTTGAGAGATGCTATCTCCTGCTATTGTTTTTCGTTTATCCAAAACCAATAACAGTCTCTCAACATCTTCATCACTTGCGATCTCAGTTTCGAAACATTGTTGCCCTTTTTGGCAAGAACAGCTTCCTTGATTGCTGTTTTCTTGGCCACAATAGTAGCGATGGTTGATTGGGGTTTTGTGTACAACCTGGCCAGCTTGGAGACACGCACTCCACTCTCATACTTAGCAATGATCTCTTTCTTCATATCCATAGTAATTCTCACCCTTTTTGCTGTAGGGTTGGCACTAGAAGCTTTCTTGGGGCCCATGGTGACTTATTTTGCAGGTGCAATCACTAAAAACGCTGTGATAATATGAAATGTTCCGATTGTATGTTTGGATGGGACCGCGGTGGCTGGCTGGCTTGTAAACACTGGCCACAAGTGGATGTGTCTCGAATGGAACGAATCGTGTTGGTCGAGTTTTTTAGCGCTAGTCGAGGCAAAATTTTTGCGTTAAAATGTATCGCTAGTCGGATTTAACGTTAGACGATGCTATCGTTGGTCGAGGGTCCACTGTAGATTAAATTAGTATTAAAATAATAATAATAATAATACATATTTTATGAAAAAGAGGATAAATAAGTATACAAGGTATGATATAGCATGTAATAAAGTAGTTTGTTAGATTATGTACTGTTGGATAAAAGGTTGATGGGTAGGCTTCAGGATGTACATGTTTATAGAGGGGCAACGGATATATCGGATCATTTTTGAGTTATAACTACAGTTAGAGTAAGAGGTAGATGGGACGAAAAGAAAATGGAAACAACAAGTAAGAGAGAGGTGAAAGTGTATAAACTTAGGGAGGAGGAAGTCAGGCTGAGATATAAGCAACTATTGGCAGAAATGTAGGCTAGTGCAAGTATGAGTAGGGGGGGGGGGGTTGAAGAGGGTTGGAATAGTTTTGAAAATGCAGTATTAGAATGTGGGGCAGAAGTTTGTGATTATAGGAGGGTGGATGCAGGAGGATAGAAGAGTGATTGGTGGAATGATGAAGTAAAGGGTGTGATAAAAGAGAAAAACGTAGCTTATGAGAGGTTTTTACAGAGCAGAAGTGTTATAAGAAGAGCAGAGTATATGGAGAGTAAAAGAAAGGCAAAAAGAGTGGTGAGAGAGTGCAAAAGGAGAGCAGATGATAGAGTGGGAGAGGCACTGTCAAGAAATTTTAATGAAAACAAGAAAAAAATTTGGAGTGAGATAAACAAGTTAAGAAAGCCTAGGGAACAGAGTAGGGGAGTTAGTAGATGGGAAGCTGGAGGTATTGGATAGATGGCAGGAATATTTTGAGGAACTTTTAAATTTCGACAAAGAAAGGGAGGTCGGGCAGCATGTATAGTGTTAAGAAAGCTGTCATATTGATAGCTGTCTTCGTTACACCAGTCCACAGATGATAGGTGTTCTCTAAGCCTAGTGTAATTTGCTAAGCAAAAATCTGGGACTTACTGAATTATCCCTAGTATCATCCTTCCATTCAGTGCTAAAGATAATTGATTTGTGGTTGCTTGTGCTGAGTTCCTCTGTAATTTCTAAATTGTTAACAAGCGTTTCCTTGTTTGCCAGAACCAAGTCAAGCAGGTTATTTCCCCTTATA